TTTGAAACAAAACAAAACAAAGAGAAGACTATAATCCACACAGCTCTCTGAGACAGCACCACGAAACTGTACAAATACAAAAATCAATACATTTTGTGTAATGATGGGTGAGTAACTGTCTAATCATAAAGTGATCAATACTCACAGTGAATAATAAACGGCTGCGTTCCTGATAAAGAAACTTCACAGTGTGATCAGTTGAGCTTTGGGACAAACAGGCCTCATTTTCCCATGAAGGCTACAGTATGTACAGCAAGCAGCTACTATTTTCTGAGGAGATGAGTTTTTTTCTGCACCCAAGGGACTTCCTGCAGTCTTCAAATAACACTCAGGGCACTTTAATTTTACATTCCCCTCTTCTCTTATCATCTCTACTTCCTTTTTACTGGAATAATGCTAACAGGCCCTGCAGTTGGACTTCTTTTGAATTTAAGCTCCATTCCCGCTAGTCAATTTTCCACAAAGGTCTTGTCTGACTAGCGAAGCCATCCTAAATCCTCCTTTTCTATGACGATCCTGCTCTCCCTGAGGATCTGGATCTGAGTCAGAAAGATGATTCCGTCCAATTTCTAGACGTACGTGGGCAAACATCAGGGTGATTTCTAGGAGTATTTAACCCTTTTTAGGAGACTACAACTCTCTTTTTACAGCTTTAATTACTCACATGAGATCGCTGGTATTAATTCAACAGTTCTGGTCTGTGTTGTGTCACTACACGGTGAAGCTGCAGGCTGATATCTGACACCTCAAAAGGAGTGTGAGGGAGCTGTCGGTTGCACAGATATCACACCTAATGGCGGCACAGTTACGAAGAAATGCAAAGTAGTGCTTTTATTTTGTACAAAGTTCATGAATATCCAAATGAACAAAGTGTGAAATTATTTCACACAAACAAACACACTGAAAGGACAGAATTTAGAAATGCAACAATATATCACGATACAAAAAGGTGAAGATTCAAATCGGTGAGATGAAAAATGAATCATGATACTCTTTAAACAGCATAGAAAGCTTTCTACATTTAACTTTGTTTGTTCGTCAGTTGTGTCAGCAGCTGTATCAAGGTGCAAAAACATGGCGGCTGCAGGTGGAGCCTATTTAAAATCAGAGGTGTGGCTTAATTAAGTCAGAAAAAAACAAGACGGTAACTGACAAGACGTGACAAGAGATATGAGGATGTTTATATTTCCAGTCCAATAGGAAATATGCATTTTTTTGCAGACCTCAGAAATATAAAACGATTCTTTAATTTGATAAAGAAAACATAAGGGAAAATATATTTTGTATATTTCAATCTCAATTTGCAAAAAATAAATAATTTAAATAATTCATACCATGAACTGTATCAAATCAATCAATCCATGAGTTGAGTCCATCTGTCCCTAACAGAACAGAAATAAAGAAACCCACTGAGACCTTCATTCATGCTGATGCAGCCAGAACTCCCTATATGTACTCTCCCATCACACACACACACAAACACACACACACACACACACACCACAAAACCATTGTGGACTCTGCCCTGTGCCCAGATACCCTCCTCAGATTTCCCATTCAGACATCCGGCCAGGGGAAATCATTAATGACACACTGAGCGTTGAGTTTTCCACACAGCGAGAGCCAATCTGCTACAATGCTGCAACAGAGCACTGTGGTAAGATAGCTTGAAGTCTCAGCAGCCATTGAGGTTAACAGTGAGAAAATGCAGCAACAATTACATGTCCTGTTGATATATCACAGTCTATTTGTGCAAATGTTATTGACATGCACCTTTAAATTATAGCTTTCTCTTATTGGGGAGTAATGGTAAACAACGTCATAGAGCTTGCTAATGATTTTAAAGCAGCACCTACAAACAACAGGCACTAGCATGATGCTAAACAGGAGCGGCCACTGTGGGAGAGAAATTGCATCAAAAAAAACCAAACAAACGAACAGGATTATTTATTGTTATTTTAAGGGAGGCTATTTGTTTTTATTTAATAAAGGGAAATTCCACCACAATTCCTCAGTTTGTTTAATTCCTGAAATATTTATAGGAATCTAAATCCATAAAGAGCCGGAGCGCCTGACAGAAGCTGTTGGAGGAAGTTCAGATTGCAATTTGTGTGCTGAAAGAATCGATGACCATTAGTACGTCTCTCCGTCTGTGAGTCTCTCTTTTTTTCATTGTTCAGATGCATCGTGATATATGACCTCAGGTGGCGGTATTGATCTGAAGATTTAGTGATGCCTAACTTTCTTTTAAAAGTCCGACAGGGCAACATGTAGCATCAACGTCGGAACTGGGGAAACTAGATTCTAATCTTTGTGGTTGGATCCATCATTTTGACAGGTTAGACGGACTGAATTGTTCTCTCCACCTCCTATCTGCCATCACCACTTCAGCAATGAGAAGTCCTTAAAGTGTTTTAAAAAAAATATATTTGATTGTCTACAAATCTGTGACGAAACGGGCAAATTTGGCAGTTGTGAAAGATTTTGTGATACAGTTGAAAGGTCTAAAACCTTTAGTGAACCTTAAATTAATCCTTGAAGGGTCGTAGAATAGCAATGTATGATAATAAATCTAATTTATGGTTTTGGAGGATCCTAAAAACCAAACAGTTTTTCTCTACTACGATCAGATCAATATCAACCTCAAGATTCTGGTTAAAATGTAAAAAAAAAATGTGAATAGATTTCTTTCACACAGAGACACGTGAAATCTCACTGCCCACACACGCAACATGCTGCAGTTTCATGCTTCAGTTTCATCGTGTCTGATATGTTCTGCACCCAGACTTCCCTAACATTGGAGAAACATTGCCTGAGACTGAAACACAAACCTGTCCATTTTTCTCCCGTAAACAAAACCTTTGGAAAGTAAAACCGAACCCACCGACTGCTGTGGAAATGTTCCTCATGGTGGCGGCTGCAGGTTTAACGCTGCAGATGACACTGGATGATTATTGGCCCAGAAAAAGACAGATTTAATGAAACAGAGCAGAGTCTGTAAAGACGTTCATTCATGAAGTCTTAATGAGCTTCTGTTTCTGTGGCTGCCATAGTGAACAAAATGGTAGAAAGCTGAAAGAGGAGTAAAGTTTAGGGATGTAATTATTGACAGATAATGGGAGATTTATATTATTATTTATTATAAAATGTTTTACAGACTTTATGTTATATGAAAGCCAGAAATGATTAACATTTGAACTTTGTTGTTTAAACTTTGTCCTCGTTGCGTTTACAATAGTGATCTCAGTTAGATTTGGTTTGATCAGAGTTATAGATTATTAAATCATCACATTTTATCCCACAGGTGTGTGTGTGTAAACTACAGGTTATGAACAAGAATGTGAAATTATCTTAACAATTATCTTGTCAGTATCAGCCATAATAAGGCAATAATTAACAGATTATTGTATTCTTTATAGCTGAAAGAAAAAATCAGTTTCAAAATCAAGTTTAACGTGAACCAGTCCAGACTGGTTAAAAACCACTCTGATGCTTCTGCTTCTTCTTGTTCAGTGTCTGCGCTTCCTGTACATGTGCCTGAAGGCTGGCTGGTGTTGTAATGTTTACAAGTGATAAAGATGAGTCAACAGGGGTTAGGTCATGATACATCATGTTTACATGAGTGATGTCACTGGTTGGACCTGCACATGTTCGAGAAGCACGTAGGCCAGAAATCATCAGTTCACATCTGAACTGAAGTAATGTATAAAACATTCTGTGGGTTCTCCAATAAACTGAGTTCAACTGAGTTCAAAGTCACAAAATCTACCATATTACCTAAAAATGATCCAAACCACAAAAAGCAAAGACGCATGAGGAAGAAAAAAAGAACCAATTAAAGGTGAAAAAAAATAAAAGAAGGTGACGGGGCATGTTACCAGTGGAATAAAAGGTCAACTGAGAGAAGGAGGTTTAAACGAGGAAGAAGGTGTGAATATGTGCAGTATGTTAACACTTCCATTATTAGACGAGTTAGCAGGTACAAAACGTTCTTGATTTCACGCAGAACAAAAATTGTTTTGGGTACAGCAGTGGTACGCTGGGGTGTCAAAAATGTCCAGGTCCTCTGAGAAAACATGTTTAAAGTCCCCCTCCACTCAGAAGTCTTGTGTGTTTCTTCTTGTTCCTACATTCGGATGCGTGAGCTTCACTGTGCAGAATGAT